CAACTTTGCACAGCCATTGAAGAGGAGTGGGACAACATTCCACAGGCCACAATCAACAGCCTGATCAACTCTATGCTAAGGAGATGTTGCGCTGCATGAAGCAAATGGTGGTCACACCAGATATGACTGGTTTTCTGACCCACGCCCCTACCTTTTTTTGAAAGGTATCTGTGACCAACAGATGTATATTTGTGTTCCCAGTCATGTGAAATCAATAGATTAGGGCCTAATTAATTTATTTTAATTGACTGATTTCCTCAGTGAAATCTTTGAACTTGTTGCATTTTGCGTTTATATTTTTGTTCAGTATGCTTCGCCTGTGAGAACCATTGCAAAGGCAAGTCTGATTAGGCTTAGCTGTACCACAGCCTCTGCCATGTAAACAAACAGACCATGGCTTTGTGTCCATGGTTGCACCGTTACATTGCAGAAAACCCTAACTCTAGCCCAAACAGAGCTACATATTTTTATTTCTAGCAGGGATTCGTGGAACGTGCTTAAAGGGGTACACACAAATTAATCATCATGAGTAAGGAACTACAAAAATTGTTAAAATAAACCCTATCTATAAAAAAAAGTTTGTCATGGAAAATATGTTGATTTGCAGTATGGATCAGATGAGGTAGAGGTCATTACCACAAAATAAATTAATAGGGAAATTATAGGTCTGCAGCAGGATTTTTTATCCCATCAAGGTGTGCCACGGTTCAAAAAATGTTGGGATCTACTGGGCAACAGGTCAAATCTGAGTTACAGTGCATTCGGAAAGTATTCAGACCCCTTGACTTCTTTTACTTTTTTTTACGTCACAGCCTTATTCTAAAATTGATTAAATTGTCATCAATCTGCACACAATACCCCATAATGACAAAGCAAACATGTTTTTAGAAATGTTAGAAAAACGTAAAAAATACATTTACATAAGTATTCAGACCCTTTACTCAGTACTTTGTTGAAGCACCTTTAACAGCAAGTATTCTTGGGTATGATGCTACAAGCTTGGCACACCTGTATTTGGGGAGTTTCTCCCATTCTTCTCTGCAGATGCTCTTGGATGGGGAGCGTTGCTGCACAGCTATTTTCAGGTCTCTCCAGAGATGTTCGATCGGGTTCAAGTCCAGGCTCTGGCTGGGCCACTCAAGGACATTCAGAGACTTGTCCCGAAGCCACTCCTGTGTTGTCTTGGCTCTGTGCTTAGGGTCGTTGTCCTGTTGGAAAGTGAACCTTCACCCCAGTCTGAGGTCCTGAGCGCTCTGGAGCAGGTTTTCATCAAGGATCTCTCTGTACTTTGCTCCGTTCATGTTTCCCTCGATCCTGACTAGTCTCCCTGCCCCTGCCGCTGAAAAACATCCCCACAGCATGATGCTGCCACCACCATGCTTCACCGTAGGGATGGTGTCAGGTTTCCTCCAGACGTGACGCTTGGCATTCAGGTCAAAGAGTTCAATCTTGGTTTCATCAGACCATAGAATCTTGTTTCTCATGGTCTGAGAGTCCTTTAGATGCCTTTTGGCAAAACTCCAAGCTGGCTGTCATGTGCATTTTACTGAGGAGTGGCTTCTGTCTGGCCACTCTACCATAAAGGCCTGATTGGTGGAGTGCTGCAGAGATAGTTGTCCTTCTGAAAGGTTCTCCCATCTCCACAGAGGAACTCTGGAGTTCTGTCGGAGTGACCATCGGGTTCTTGGTCACCTCCCTGACCAAGGCCCTTCACCCCCGATTGCTCAGTTTTTCCGGACGTCCAGCTCTAGGAAGAGTCTTGGTGGTTCCAAACTTCTTCCATTTAAGAATGATGGAGGCCACTGTGTTCTTGGGGACCTTCAATGCTCCAGAAGTTTTTTGGTACCCTTCCCCAGAGCTGTGTCTCGACACAATCCTGTTTCGGAGCTCTATGGACAATTTTTTTCACCTCATGGCTTGGTTTTTGCTCTGACATGCACGGTAAACTGTGGGACCTTATATAGACAGGTGTGTGCCTTTGCAAATCATGTCCAATCAATTGAATTTACCACAGGTGGACTCCAATCAAGTTCTAGAAAGATCTTAATGATGATCAATGGAAACAAGATGCACCTGAGCTCAATTTCAAGTCTCAAGGGTCTAAATACTTATGTAAATAAGGTATGTGCCAAGAAATGTAATACCTGTTTTCGCTTTGTCATTATGGGGTATTGTGTGTAGATTGATCAGGGGGGGAAATTATTTAATACATTTTAGAATAAGGCTGTAACGTAACAAAATGTGTAAAAAGTCGAGGGGTCTGAATACTTTCCGAATGCACTGTATTTTAGTTTTTAACACATTAGTGGGATAAAAAGGTATTTGGAGATTGTCACGCCCTGGCTCTGGGGACTCTTAAATGTTGAGCCAGGGTGTGTAGTTTCTATGTTGTGTTTTCTATGTTTAGTTTCTAGATCGTTTAGATCTATGTTGGCCAGGGTGGTTCCCAATCAGAGGCAGCTGTAGCTCGTTGTCTCTGATTGGGGACCATACTTAGGTAGCCTGTTGGCACTAGTGGGTTGTGGGATCTTGTTCCGTGTTATGGTATGTTTGTGTGCTACCTTGGACTTCACATTTCGTTTGTTGTTTTTGTCGTGTGTTTATTCGTTTAATAAACATGTATGCTTATCACGCTGAGCCTTGGTCCGTCCAGTCTGTAAACGATCGTGACAGAGATCATGCATAAAATTGTTTGTGGTAAATATTGTCTTTCAGTATGGGAGGATTTTAGGACCAACTGAAACATATATTTGCTGTAGTAGTACAATGGAACATTATGTAACAATGGAAATACTAACTGGTGTAACTGACCCCTTTTTATTGGCCAGATAAAAACAATATTTAGTGATTTTAAACCTCACTCCATTTGCTGAGTTTTTCAATACAATTAGCAGTATCACTGAGATTGTGTATTGTAAAGTGATTCAGGTGAAAATGCATGAATACCTGTCATGGAGTGACCGTAGCACATTAAGCACAGTCATACAGCCCCTCCATCTGGGTAATGCATTGCAAGGACTGCCTCATCGCTAAAAGCCATCCAGTCTGACAGACAGAGTGGTATGCAATGGAAGACGAGCAGAGGGAAGATTGAATTTCAACAGCTAGACTCCCTCCCTCCCTCCCACTCACCTATCCTCCCCGCCAGGCTGGCTGCTTGGCAGCACGTATCCTGCTGGGACCAGCCCTTGATTTATTTGGAGGGGCTCTGGAATGGGCCAGGATGAGTGGCATTTTAATGTGCTTTTGAGATGTTTGGTCACAAGCACTATTGATCACAGTACCCAGCGACCACCCCTTCACCCCCTCCAGACCTCTACCCCCACCTTGGGGAGAGGAGCAGGGCCTGCAGGAGCCTGCAGGGCTGTCAGGCAGGGAATTAGTTTCCTTGTGGGCTTAGATTAATGAAATGAGGCCCTGGGTGTGGGTGCAGGGGTCAGGCTATTAAGTCATCTCTGGGCCTGCTGAGATTGAGGCTGTCTGCCAGTTGAGCCCGACGCTGACTGAATGATTGACACCCGGTCCTTTTGGTCTGTGTGGAACAGCGTGTGTGTGTGTGTGTGTGTGTGTGTGTGAGAGAGAGAGAGAGAGAGAGAGAGAGAGAGAGAGAGAGAGAGAGAGAGAGAGAGAGAGAGAGAGAGAGAGAGAGAGAGAGAGAGACCATAAGTCGTGTGCCTTTGTAATTCTGAGACAAATAAACAGTGGTAAAAGGTCCACAGTTAGCATGCTGCAGTGAGCCAAAATACCCAGTTCTCCACCAGTTTAAGAAATGAGGCTCATGTATTAGCAGCACCCCCCTAACCTTGAGTGGAGGAGGCTTCCGAGAGGTGCCACATCCGCTCGGAGACATCCAAGACAGAACGCCTCCACCGACTATAATAACTGCTGATATAATTTCACTCCTCCGCTCCTTCAACCTAATCCTGTCTATTTGTTCACATTAGGGCCTATTCTGGGCTGAGTGAGGAGGGATAAACACTCTAGGCTGGTGTGAAGGGTAATCAGGAACATTTCACAGCTCAGTAGCCTCTGACTAAGCATACCTGAAACATGTCTGACTGTTACCGACCAGCATGGAACACTGCTCTGCTTGGCACCCAAAACACGTTGTCGCACTGGTCTCATTGGGACTCTGTCCGTGTGGTTTGTTTGATAGAGGGACTGGGTGCCACATGCGCACATCCACGCACACATACACACATGCACTTGAACACACACACACAGACCTGTATCGCCCCCAGACTCCCCATGGTTTGATAAGGGAAATGGATTCCTGTGATCAATAGTCTGGGTGAATACACAGATTATCAGATTATCAGATTAAAATGTGTCCCCTGCTGCCAAGGGGACCAGGAGAATACAGTAAACGCAGGGTGCTCTGCAATATTTAATTAATTATCCCTCTGATTATGCTGTTTTCCCAATGACCATCCTACAACAACGTATACAGCTGCATGTTTTGCTGCAGTTGCTACAACAGAGTCAGACGATGCCAGCTCAATAAACAATTAGTTTTCAGAGGGTAACCCAGGAATGTAATTATCTATTTGTTTTAATATCTTTGTTTTTATTTATCTCAGAAATCCTCATCCTGCCTCCTATAATTGTTAACCCAGTAAAGGATGGCAATTAGAATGTAATTACACAATAGTGAATGATTATGGGCACGATTAGAGTTCCATTAACTAAACTTTGATTTCACTTTCTCTATAGTGCCACAAACAAAACCTTCAGCAGAGCATTGGGTCTGTCCTAGAGCTGTTCTGCAGCGAGAAAGCGAGAGAACATGGAACACCTTGCACCATTGTGCTGCAGTTGTGTTTTATTGTGTTTTGTAGCATTCTCTCCAAATGTGTTTTAATCAGTGAATAGCCTGCTGGGTAGTGTGCTGGCCCAGTGACACATTTAGAGACCAGAGCCAGTGTATTGTATTAGCTTAGCCAGTCAGCCACTAAGCCTGGAGAGGTGGCTGGGGTTTGGGGTCTGCTGGCTAAAAATTAATGTTTCTGGTGTTATCTGTCCCCTGCAGTGTGTACGGCTGCCCTCTGGCCAAGAAGAGGAAGACACTGGACAGACAGCCCCTGGAACCCCTGGAGCCAGCCCCCAAGGGGACACCCCTCGTAACCCACATGGACAACTCTACTATGGAGGAGAGCTACGAGACGGATGGAACAGAAGAGATGGATGACAGAGAGGAGGAGGTGGAGGAGGGAGTAGAGGATGGGGGAGATGAAGAAGAGGAGGAGGTAGAGGAGGAGGAAGAGGAGAAGGGATACTCAGATGACAATGAGGAACAGATGGAGCAGGAAGAAGGAGAGGTGGAGAAAGGGGAGGGAGAGGGGGAGGAGGTAGAGGTGGAACAAGAGGAGGAGGAGGAGGGAGTAGAAGAGGAGGAAGATGATGAAGAGGAGGAGGAGTATGAGGAGGAGTATGATGAGCAGAGTCAAGGCCAAGGTGAGACTTTATTTACTCCTCTGTTACACTGAAAGATATTAGGACATTTTATTCAAAATAATGTAAATATTTGCGTTGCGGAATGGTTAGCCTAGAATATACAGTGAGGGAAAAAAGTATTTGATCCCCTGCTGATTTTGTAAGTTTGCCCACTGACAAAGACATGATCAGTCTATAATTTTAATGGAAGGTTTATTTGAACAGTGAGAGACAGAATAACAACAAAAAAATCCAGAAAAATGCATGTCAAAAATGTTATAAATTGATTTGCATTTTAATGAGGGAAATAAGTATTTGACCCCCTCTCAATCAGAAAGATTTCTGGCTCCCAGGTGTCTTTTATACAGGTAACGAGCTGAGATTAGGAGCACATTCTTAAAGGGAGTGCTCCTAATCTCAGTTTGTTACCTGTATAAAAGACACCTGTCTACAGAAGAAATCAATCAATCAGATTCCAAACTCTCCACCATGGCCAAGACCAAAGAGCTCCCAAAGGATGTCAGGGACAAGATTGTAGACCTACACAAGGCTGGAATGGGCTATAAACCATTGCCAAGCAGCTTGGTGTCAGTTTGGCACCGATGTGGATGTGAAGAGGAGTCAGGCGCAGGACACAGAGGTTTAGTCCAACAAACTTTACTATAGTAAAGTGAACAATAATCAATACACGACCTCGAAACACACAGAGGCAATAACAGTACGCAACATGCGTAAAACAAAACATGTAGAGCGCAAACACGCAGCTCAAACGACACGCGGACAACAACACACAATATCACTAACACAAAACAGGGAACTTATAGGACACGTAATTAGGACACAAACAGACACAGGTGTACTAGACAGACCAAAGCAATCAACACACGAAACATACAACGGTGGCAGCTAGTATTCCGGGGACGGCGAACGCCGAAGCCTGCCCGAACCAGGAGGAGGAGCAGCCTCGGCCGAAACCGTGACACTTGGTGAGAAGGTGACAACAGTTGGTGTGATTATTCGCAAATGGAAGAAACACAAAATAACTGTCAATCTCCGTCGGCCTGGGGCTCCATGCAAGATCTCACCTCGTGGAGCTGCAATGATCATGAGAACAGTGAGGAATCAGCCCAGAACTACACGGGAGGATATTGTCAATGATCTCAAGGCAGCTGGGACCATAGTCACCAAAAAAACAATTGGTAACACACTACGCCATGAAGGACTGAAATCCTGCAGCGCCCGCAAGGTCCCCCTGCTCAAGAAAGCACATATACAGGGCTGTCTGAAGTTTGCCAATGAACATCTGATTCAGAGGAGAACTGGGTGAAAGTGTTGTGGTCAGATGAGACCAAAATCGAGCTCTTTGGCATCAACTCAACTCGCCATGTTTGGAGGAGGAGGAATGCTGCCTATGACCCCAAGAACACCATCCCCACCGTCAAACATGGAGGTGGAAACATTATGCTTTGGGGGTGTTTTTCTGCTAAGGGGACAGGACAACTTCACCGCATCAAAGGGACGATGGACGGGGCCATGTACCGTCAAATCTTGGGTGAGAACCTCCTTCCCTCAGCCAGGGCATTGAAAATGGGTCGTGGATGGGTATTCCAGCATGACAATGACCCAAAACACACGGCCAAGGCAACAAAGGAGTGGCTCAAGAAGAAGCACATTAAGGTCCTGGAGTGGCCTAGCCAGTCTCCAGACCTTAATCCATAGAAAATCTGTGGAGGGAGCTGAAGGTTCGAGTTGCCAAACGTCAGCCTCGAAACCTTAATGACTAGGAGATGATCTGCAAAGAGGAGTGGAACAAAATCCCTCCTGAGATGTGTGCAAACCTGGTGGCCAACTACACACCCGTTCAAAAGTTTGGGGTCACTTAGAAATGACTCAACGTCAACAGTGAAGAGGCGACTCCGGGATGCAGACCTTATAGGCAGAGTTGCAAAGAAAAAGCCATATCTCAGACTGGCCAATAAAAATAAAAGATTAAGATGGGCAGTCTGAGATATGGCTTTTTCTTTGCAACTCTGCCTAGAAGGTCAGCATCCCGGAGTTGCCTCTTCACTGTTGACGTTGAGACTGGTGTTTTGTGGTTACTATTTAATGAAGCTGCCAGTTGAGGACCTGTCAGGCACCTGTTTCTCAAACTAGACACTCTAATGTATTTGTCCTCTTGCTCAGTTGTGCACCGGGGCATCCCACTCCTCTTTCTATTCTGGTTAGAGACAGTTTGCACTGTTCTGTGAAGGGAGTAGTACATAGCGTTGTAGGAGATCTTCAGTTTCTTGGCAGTTTCTCGCATGGAATAGCCTTCATTCAGAACAAGAATAGACTGACGAGTTTCAGAAGAAAGTTATTTGTTTCTGGCCATTTTGAGCCTGTAATCGAACCCACAATTGCTGATTCTCCAGATACTCAACTAGTCTCAAGAAGGCCAGTTTTATTGCTTCTTTAATCAGCACACAGTTTTCAGCTGTGCTAACATAATTGCAAAATAGTTTTCAAATGATCAATTAGCCTTTTAAAATGATACACTGGGATTAGCAAACACAACGTGCCATTGGAACACAGGACTGATGGTTGCTGATAATGGGCCTCTGTACGCCTATGTAGATATTCCATAAAAAATCAGCAGTTTCCAGCTACAATCGCCATTTACAACATTAACTATGTCTACACTGTATTTCTGATTAATTTGATGTTATTTTTATGGACCAAAAAATTGCTTTTCTTTCGAAAACAAGGACATTTCTAAGTGACCCCCAACTTTTGAACCGTAGTGTGTATATATAGTGCCTTCGGAAAGTATTCAGACCCCTTGACTTTTTTCAAATTTACAGCCTTATTCTAAAATTCATTAAATAGTTTTTTTTACCCTCATCAATCTACACACAATAACCCATAATGACAAAGTAAAAACGTTTATTTTTTATATTTTTTATATCACATAAGTATTCAGACCCTTTACTCAGTACTTTGTTGAAGCACCTTTAACAGCGATTACAGACTTGAATCTTCTTGAGTATGATGCTACAAGATTTGCACACCTGTATTTGGGGAGTTTCTCCCATTCTTCTCTGCAGATGCTCTCAAGCTCTGTCAGGTTGGAAGGGGAGCGTTGCTGGACAGCTATTTTCAGGTCTCTCCAGAGATGTTCGGGCTCTGGCTGGGCCACTCAAGGACATTCAGAGACTTGTCCCAAAGCCACTCCTGCGTTGTCTTGGCTGTGTGCTTAGGATCATTGTCCTGTTGGAAGATGAACCTTCGCCCCAGTCTGAGTTCCTGAGCACTCTGGAGCAGGTTTTCGAACAAGGATCTCTCTGTACTTTGCTCTGTTCATCTTTCCCTCAATCCTGACTAGTCTCCCAGTCCCTGCCGCTGAAAAACATCTTCACAGCATGATGCTGCCACCACCATGCTTCCCCATAGGGATGGTGCCAGGTTTCCTCCAGACGTGATGCTTGGCATTCAGGCCAAAGAGTTTAATCTTGGTTTCATCATACCAGATAATCTTGTTTCTCATGGTCTGTGAATCTTTAGGTGCCTTTTGGCAAACTCCAAGCTGGCTGTCGTGCCTTTTACTGAGGAGTGGCTTCCATCTGACCGCTCTACCATAAAGGCTTGATTGGTGGAGTGCTGCAGAGATGGTTGTTCTTCTGGAAGGTTCTCCCATCTCCACAGAGGAACTCTAGAGCTCTGTCAGAGTGACCATCGTGTTCTTGGTCACCTCCCTGACCAAGGCCCTTCTCCCCCGATTGCTCAGTTTTGCCGGGTGGCCAGCTCTAGGAAGAGTCTTGGTAGTTCCAAACATCTTCCATTTAAGAATGATGGAGGCCACTGTGTTCTTGGGGACCTTCAATACTGCAGAAAGGTTTTGGTACCCTTCCCCAGGTCTGTGCCTCGACACAATCCTGTCTCGGAGCTCTACAGATAATTCCTTCGACCTCATGGCTTGGTTTTTGCTCTGACATGCACTGTCAACTTTGGGACCTTATATAGACAGGTGTGTGCTTTTCCAAATCATGTCCAATCAATTGATTTTACCACAGTTGGACTCCAATCAAGTTGTAGAAACATCTCAAGGATGATCAATGGAAACAGTATGCACCTGAGCGCAATTTGAGTCTCATAGCAAAGGGTCTGAATTCTTAGGTAAATAAGGTATTTCTGTTTTTGATTTTTAATACATTTGCAAAAAACTCAAAAAACCTGTTTTCACTTTGTCATTATGGGGTTTGCTGAGGAGTAAAAAAAAAAAATCAATTTTAGATTAAGGCAGTAACGTAACAAAATGTGGAAAATGTAAATGGTTCTGAATACTTTCTGAAGGCACTGTATATATGTGCAGTATAGTAAGCAATAAAGGCATGCAATTATACTTTTGCCAGTGTACTGGGAATTGAGATGTGATATAATTCTACATAACAACATCCAAATGAAATCCCAAGCCTGCATGTCCTAGAACATAGAATATATTATGCTGCTCATATTCCTTTGATCTTTGTTTGTTTCATCTGTTTGACTGGTTTATTTATTTATTTGTTTGAGCATTTGCTTTTCCTCCAACCTATAAGACGACTGTAGCTACCTGAAACATAATTTTTTGTGCTAGATCAAACCCGGTCACTAAGAATAGAGAGATGGTTTGGCAGCAAAGGCTATTTTTTCAGGAGACTGAGCTCTCTAATTTGAGGTGTGTTTGGGCGATTTGACATTACCTTCAGGGTTATCTCAGTCGCAGGTTAAGCAGTGCTGGTGTTGTCTCTCAGACACAGATCCTGTTAAAATGACAGTTTGGCACTTGCTGGATGTGAACCCTCTGTCTGTCTATCTCCAAAACACCTAAATGCCCTGAAATAGTGAATCAGGACTCAAAATGATGCGGTGAAAGAAGCTAAATGCTTATCTATCATTCTTGAAATTACAGCATCCATATAACTACAGTATAGGTGTCAGAGAGTGCATGTATTTGTGTGAGAAAAGTCAAAAGCAGCCTTCGCTTAATGGCATAGATAAGTTATGCTAGATTTTTTATTTTATTTAATTTTTTATTTTACCTTTATTTAACTAGGCAAGGCAAATTCTTATTTACAATGACGGCCTACACCGGCCAAACCCGGACGACGCTGTGCCAATTGTGCGTCACCCTATGGGACTCCCAATCACGGCCGGTTGTGATACAGCCTGGAATCGAACAAGGCGGTCTGTAGTGACGCCTCAAGCACTGAGATGCAGTGCCTTAGACCGCTACGCCACTCGGGAGATATTAAACCTTCTGTTCAAAATGACCTGCAACAAACCAATTGAGCACAGATCTCTCTATAGAGAGAAGACACAGTAGCCTGTGTCTGGTTTGGAGACAGTCTGGGACGTGACAAGTTCTTCTCCATGTGTGGTCTCTGCCCCTGACGTGCCCAAACATTTGACAGGTTTCTCACCAACTCATTCTGCCTCTCACTCCCGCACCTCAAATCCTTCCTGACAGAACCTTCACGTCCAATTAAGACAGGAGCTCTGAGAGAGAGAGAGAGATAGATAGAGGGGGGCTGTGTTAACCCTCTTTGGTACAGTACGTTGTGCTAGCTTCCTTCTAGTAGTGTTAGTGTGTATCAGCCTCCCTCATCTGTCTCTCTCTGTCTCTCTGTTGGCCATGTGAGAATCTCCCTAGACTGACATTAATTACAGAGACCACAGTCAAGGAGATAGTCTTTGTTCCATTCTTGGCCCAAAGAGCACAATTCAATCAATTCCACTGGGAGTTCTAGCTTTCTGCTCTGGCCTAATTAAACTTAGTGAATATTTGGGATTCTCTCCATCGTTCTCAACCACAGTGCCATCTTTAGGTAGGAGGATGACATCACACCTTTTTTCGTCTCCTTTTTTCTCCTTCCCAGAAATGTAGATAAGTCTCTCCACATGCGTTAGTCTACTATCATTTCCACCATACTCTCGAAGACATAAGTGGCAGCAGGCAGATTCCAATCTGCTCACTGTAATAGAGGTGGCATTGTTATGGCGGCTCTGTGTTTCTCAATGGATATTTGCACACTATTGCACGCTGCTGCTGCATTGCTAAAGCTTTGTACAGAGCAGTGCAATCGCTCAGTTCCCCTTTCAATCTGTTTTGCTTTCCTATCCCCTTTCGTGTACCTTGATTGCTCTTCAAATTGCTTTCCTGAGCCATGTTTCAAAACATCAGAAATGTAACCTCTGGCAGCCAGGGTAAGGGTATGGTACTGTAAGAAAGCGTTCCCCTGTCAAAAGTTGTGCCTGGTCAGTCGTGACTGTTCTCTCTCCGTGGCCCAGAGCCCAGAGCCCTCACCCCAACACCCTACATGTTGTGTTGCTCTCAGTAGATTGGGGAGTTGGTGTGTGTGTGTGTGTGTGTGTGTGTGTGTGTGTGTGTGTGTGTGTGTGTGTGTGTGTGTGTGTGTGTGTGTGTGTGTGTGTGTGTGTGTAAGTGTATGTCGTGTGTTGTCTGGGTGTGCATGGACTTATTTGTGAACACGTATGTGAAGTATCTCAAGTATGCTTATATGTGTTTGTTTGTGCATGTAAGTCTTTCATGCTTCATGTTTCCCCATTTTAATATCTATCTTATTGAAATGTTCCCGTTCACACACACAAGTGTATTGGGACAGCCGATGTGGCTTTGAACCTGGCGATTTATTAATACTTCACCAAGGAAGATTACACCTCACTACTGTTTTGTCAGGTGATTTTCTCACTCCCTCCAGAAATCAAAGTCACATGTATTATTTATTTGTTGGCCTCAGGGTTTATTCTCTGCATGAATGTAAGTGGCAAAAGTGTGGTGGGTCGGGTGTGAGCGATGCGATGCGCTCTTGGCGGGAGGGAATGTGAGAAGTGGTCCAGAGAGTTGCTGCTTCACATTAATGACAATAGAGGCTCAGCTACCTTTAGCAGCCTGTCTGGCAGAATCAATTAGCCAATGGCCAGCATTCTAAATATCCTGTTGATTGGCCAAAAATGGACATTCTGGAATGAGGAGAATGTAGGGATTTGTAATGGCACATTACATGAGACAATCAATGTATAGCATAAAGCATGAGGATTCCAGTTTGAAGGTATTTTGCTCCCCTACAAAATGTGGTCAAATGAAAAGTGTGTTGCTTTATGCCAGTTACTTAGCCATCAACTGGCAGCCACAGTGTTCTTGTTGTTGTGACCGAAAGGATCCAGATTACTAGGATGCAGTGTACTGAATGTACATCCAAAACATCTCTATGGAAATTTCCAAACCACTTTATCCCACTTCCTGTGCTGATTCACAATACCCTTTACAGGCTGCTGTTAAGACCCTGAAAGTACATTATTGAGAAACGCAAAGAGTTCCTTATCCAATTTAAATGGACCAAGCCCAGAAATCTGATTTACCCGTTAAATAGAATGAGTGAAATGTGATTACAATCCACTTATTCTTCTATTTTTCCACGTACAGAGGACGATCAGCTGAGTGTCGGCAGTGGCGGCCATCCCAAATCCGGTCCGACGGGGGAGAAGGACGACAACAACAACGATGAATATGAGAACTATGATGAGCTGGTGGCCAAGTCTCTGCTCAACCTGGGAAAGATCGCAGAGGACGCCGCCTACCGCGCCATGACAGAGTCTGAGATGAACAGCAACTCCTCCAACAGCGCCGAGGAAGAAGAGGAGGAGGAAGAAGAAGAGGAGGAGGAGGAGGAAGAAGAAGAGGAGGATGAGGAAGAAGAAGAGATGGAGGGTGGGGAGGGAGGTCAAAGGAAGGGTGAGTTGACTCTGGATGTGGACAGTGATGTAGTGAGGGAGACTGTGGACTCTCTGAAGCTGCTGGCCCAGGGTCATGGGGCCGTGCTCTCTGACAACCTGGATGAAGGAGACTATGAGGAAGGGACGGGGGAGAACAGGGAAGGGAGCCGTAATGGAGGAGGTGGAGGTGGTAACGGTCAGGGTAAACCCTCTAACGGACTGGAGGAGAGTGATGAGGAGGTGTGTCTAAGCAGCCTGGAGTGTCTGAGGAACCAGTGCTTCGACCTGGCCCGCAAACTGAGTGAGACGCAGCCGGCCGACCGCTTGGGCACAGGCCTCCCCCAGCAGAGCCACCCTGGTGGGGGGGACACCCAGGGGCAGCACCCCCATCCCCACCCCCACTCCCTCTCCCACCAACCTGGGTACGGGGACCCCCAGCAGAGCCAGGAGGATAGGCGCACCCTGGAGAGGAACTACTCCGACATGGTCAACCTGATGAAGCTGGAGGAGCAGTTGAGCCCGCGCTCCAAGGCTTTCTCCAGCTGCGCTCAGGATGACCGCTACCACAACCACATCCACGACCGGGACGAGGACACGCAGTCAGTGACGTCAGATCGCTCGGAGGAGGTGTTCGACATGACCAAGGGGAACCTGTCTCTGCTGGAGAAGGCTATCGCGCTGGAGTCTGAGAGGGCCAAGGCCATGAGGGACAAGATGGCTGCCGAGGCGGCGCGGAGGGACAGGGTGAGGTATCATCATCACCATGGAGACCATCATGGGGAGCACCAATCACGGCACGGCTACGGAGAGGAGCGCAAGGCCCGCCTCCATGATGGGATGAAGAAGCCCTACTACCATAAAGGTAAGTAAACCTGGCTAGAAGGATTTTGACTTATAAAGAGGATGCACAGTGTGTTATGTATGCTGCCACAACACTAGACATTCGCCTACCTCTCTCACCTTGCTGAGGTGAATGAACAGTTCATGTATGATTGTCAGGTAAACCCCAGTCAGTCCCTGGCTCTGCTCTCCATATCCCTTCATAGGGATGGCAGGCTGATGTGCTCACTGGGAAACCTCACTGTGACCCCAGGACAGGCTTTTGCAGCCAATTTGGAGACTAGCATCTCTGCAGCGTCCGCAGCAGCTTATGTTGTTAAAATAGGCCAGCATGGCAACATGAGAGGGTTGGCTTGTCAGGCATAAGTAATGGCAATCTGCATGGCCCGTTAGGACTGCAAATCGCATCCCTCCCTGCCTGCCATGCAGCCACGGCTAAAGCTGCTTATTTAGAGAGGGACTCTGGAATCTACAAAATAGAAGCCTGCTGGAGCTTCCTCTGAAAGGGAACTGGGTACTGCATACAATAGAAACTGTGGAATTTAGGTTTTAGGGTAAAGTTGTATTATGTCCTGCGTCCTGCGTCCCAGAGCCAAATAATTAGTAGAATGTGGCTTTTTCTTTGTGTTGTAGTTGGGATTTTATTGGGTGTTTAGTGGTGCAGGTTCCCTTCCATACTGTATATTCAGACATGCTGTTCTAGGGTGGTTGATTTCAGACCCAGTGTTTTGAATATCTGTATCTTAATGGATTATCTGCCCAGACACATAAGTAGGTATATTATGCACACTTAGTTCTGACTTCAAGATTACAAAGTGACATTTACAATGGTTGCTTCTCCAAGAATATTTGAAGAGTGATTATTCTTACTGTATTCTGTCTCCCATCCTACAGAGATGGAACACTCATATCAAGGACCGAATCCTCACCCTCCACTATGCTGTATCACATTAGTGGAAACCAAGACTGTTCTCAGAGCAGGTCTGCCGGTTTTGACTAGCAAAAGTTACTTTTCGTAGCAGGTTAGGAGAATTTACGCAGCAGGTTAAGAGAATTAACGTGGCAGGTTAGGATAATTAGGTTAAGGTTAGGAAAAGGGTTAGGGTTAGGGTTAGCTAAAATGCTAAAATTCTTCCTGACTGGACTCGAACATATCTAGCTACAACCAGGCCTGCCCTGAGAACACTCTTGGTTTCCAATAATGCAATGCTGCCTCCAGGCTGAGATAACGAGGGAAGTTAGAGACAAACTCCACATTTGAAAGACAAATGCCACACAAATGCTAATTTCACATGCACGGCATGGCCCCTGTATCTGGCTAATGTTGGAATAACAGGAGTATGTGCATCACGATAACATCTTCTACCTGGAGAGATAGCGGCAGACACCTCGTTGACCAGGGTACCTGTCTGTGATTTAAAAGTGAAGCGGAGGTGGTGGCTATGAGGGGAGAGCCCGGCCGGCCAGCCAGGGAAAAAAAAACAGGCGGGGAAATGGAAATTGAACAGTGTCCAAATGAGTGATAATGAACAACAGGCCCACCGACTGCACATTCATTATCCAGAGATGGTATGGTAATTGGGGCCATTTTCTATGCAGAGCATGGCCTGTCTCCAGCCACAATCAATATCCTCTGCTTTCTAATATGCATTCCACTTGGCTGCCTCCCTCCTGTCCTCCACTCTCCACTGTCCACCGTGAGGCAGACAGCCAGAGGCCCGTGGTGTGTGTCTGTGTGCGTGTGTTCCTCTTATTGGAAACTGTAAAAAAAATTGTCAGACTGCATCAGTGATACAGAGAAAAACATTTACCATGCCATTATGTACTGTGATTTTACAGTTCTTTCTCAGTATGAAAATGGGCCTATGTGATTTGGAGTCATGCCAGGTAAAAGGGGAGAGTCAGACACAACACAGACACAGTGTACCAACCCCATGTGTCCTAATATGATACTGTCAGAGGAAGAGGAAGGCGTAAACGTACAAGGAGGTAATGAGGGGCGTGTTCTGATCTATGGAGTAACAGGGACTCGTCATCGTACTCACTAGTATAAGAGTGTAATGTACTCCCTCTCTCTATCTACTCTCTCTCTAGAGGAGAGAAAGGGAGAGAGAGAGAGAAAGGGAGAGAGAGGCGAGAGCGAGAGAGAGAGAGAGCGAGATGAGAGGAGAGAGGGGGAGAGGAGTGAGAGGGAGAGAGAAGAGCGCGAGAGAGAGAGGGAAAGGAGGGAAGAGAGAGGAAGAGAGGAAGAGAATTGCAATCAGAGGTGTGCAAAAAATATACAGATCTAGATATTAGATAATGTAATGGCAGATATAATCGATATATATCTCTCTTCTATATCCCTGTATATTTCTCTACTTTCTATCTTGCTATATCTCTGCTCCTATGATCTCTCTCTCTCTATCTCTCCATTATCTATTCTATTCTCTCTCTAGCGCTCTCCATTTCTGTCCCTTTTCCTTTTAATTTCCCCCTTCTCTCTCTATCTCTCTCTATCTTCTCTCTCTCTCTCTCTCTCTATCTCATCTCTCTCTTCTCTCTCTTCTCTCTCTCTCTCTCTCTCTCTCTCCTGTACTCATCTCTCTCAGCCTCTCTCTCTCTGCCTCTCTCTCCCTATCTCTCTGCCTCTCTCTCTGCCTCTCTCTCTCTCTCCCTCTCTCTCTCTCTCTGTCTCTCTGTCTCTTTCTCTGTCTTTCTCCATCTGTCTCTCTCGTCCTCCTTCTCCCCCCCCCCCCTCTCTCTGTCTATTTATCCCTCTCTTTCTCTCTCTCTCTACCTAATCCTTTCTCTCTCACTACCTCTGTGTCTGGGTTTATTTAGGTTATTCTGTAAGTGGTGGAGGTGAAGGTACCAGGTTACAGCAGCCTATCAAACTTTAATTAGCAGACTCTCTGTTGTCCTGCGTTTTAAAAGCACCTCTCTCTCTCTGTCTTCTCTCTCTCGCTCTCAGTCTCTCGTCCTCTCTCTTTTTCTCTCTCATCCTCTCTCTCCTTGTCTCTCTCACTCCTTTACTACTACTATGTGGAAGATGTGAAAGGAAATCTATCCCCTCTCTCTTTCTCGCTTATCCTTTTTCTTCCCCCTCTCTCCCTTACCTCTTACCAAATGTTTGCTGGCTCAAATGGGCTTAGAAAAAAGCTCTTGTTTGTGTGTGCTATCTGTGTCGCACAAGCAATATGTCAGCCAAAATACACAAGAGATCCTTAAATCCTGATAATCATTTAATGGAAAACAAGCTGCAGATAATAGCTACTGAATATCCTAGCATCACAGAACAATCTATTACCTTGTTACCTAGTTGAAGACATTTGGGGGGCTGTTGCACCTGATGCCGGTTGGCATGGGCTGGTATCACTGCTTTTGGATGGTAACACTATCTGATCGGGTTTGGAGAAATAGAGAGGGTGAGGTTGGGCAAGGGAAAGACAATCCCCTCCGGTGTCTGTGTGTGTTGGGGTGGGGGGGGGGGGGGGGGGGGGGGGGGGGGGGGGGGTGTTCATGTCTTATTATTGCCAATAATGACCTTTAGTGGAAAATAATTGGTGGAAAAAGTCAGACTTACTTTGTCTTGAGAGAATGACAACACCTGCTCTTCTCTCCTACAGCTGTGGCTTTATTTAACAAGACTTAAAAATACCCTGGCAAGTGGTGTGAAATATGTTACTATGGCGATGATATAGCACACCTTATGTTATTTGTGTTCCTACAATGTCCCATGTGTCTCAGGTGTGTGATAGCGCTTTTAGCCACAACAATTCTTCAACTGACTTTGGTTGCTGTGGTTACAAGCATTCTCGCATTTACACACCGTTCACAACGACTTTCCCCTTGTGAAAGTTTTCATATGCGCTGCTTTCAATGACGCAAGCTAATTTCTCTTTCTCCTTCTTTCTCTCTCTCTCCCGCTCTCTCTCCCTATGCCCCATGTTTCTGTGTGTTCAGATGTATCGCGCAGTGACAAGAAGGAGAGCCGGTGCCCTACGCCAGGCTGCGATGGCACGGGTCACGTGACAGGGTTGTACCCTCACCATCGGAGCCTGTCTGGCTGTCCGCACAAAGACAGGGTGCCACCTGAAAGTAAGCACTGCACATACACAATTCACTCTACCACTCAACTCAGTAAACAAGGTCTGCATGTTTCTTTGTTTTGTCTGAATGCTGTGTGTTTGTTATGGATGTTCTGTGTTTGCTAGTCAGGTGGGGAGTGCGGTGGGAGGGGCGTGTGGGCTACAGATGCTCTCCTGGTGTGACCTTTGGATGCATGGGGTCATGGGTTTGCTTGTGTTATTCGATGACTGATAACCTGCTCAGTCTACTGTCTAATGATGGGGGGCATCTGCACCCACTGTTTCATTCAGATAATTATTTTTACTTAAGCAATTCCTCTTGCATTTTCTCCCTGAATTCCTATCATATTTACCTGCACAAAGTAAGATCCCACTGGGCACAGATGTCAATTCAATGTCTATTCCACGTTGGTTCCACATCATTTCATTGAAATTATGTGGAAACAACGTTGATTCAACCAGTTTGTGTTGAGACTGAGTATGCATATCAATCTCCAACGCACAATAAGCCCAAATAATTTATTTGTATTCTTTGCTCAATTAAATTCAGTTGAATAAAATAATTACAGCTTTGTGTGGCAGATCAACTGTAGTGGCGATAAACATTAGCCAGTCTCCGTCTGAAGTTTTCACCCCGGCTATTTGGTCCCATTCACCAACCTTCTCAATAAAACCTCTTTAACACATGTCATTAACCCGGAGTCAGAAGGTAAAGTTATGATCTGCCATGACCCAGACTGCTAATAAAAATAAAATAGTTTAAAAAAAAGAATGGCACAGAAATTAGTTAACATAAGACATGGCCTTAAAGAGTACCCAGTTATCAGACATGGCTGTTTTTGCTTTGAGTACTATGCTTAGAGCCAGGAGATTTCCTGGCCCTACAGATGCCATATCTTAATTTGATAATCCTGTTGTTGCAGGAGAACTTTCCAGGAAATATCTAACTTGTAGTGTAGCCTATTCAAGGTTTAAAAAGGCTTCTGAAATTTGTAATTTTCACTTCAAAATGTCAGACCAGTATGTCAGACTTGATTTTGATTATTGTACTACAATGTTGAGGGAGCTAGCACGCAGTCATTTCATTGCACCTTTTATAACTGCTGTAAACTGTGTACGTGACAAATACAATGTTATTGATTTGAACATGCTGTTAAAAGGTGACCTGGTACAGGTTGTGTGAGGTATCGACAGGACTCTACTTTAAAAAGCATTATTTGCCATGGTGCAGCCAGACACCAGGTTTCTCCCTGTCGGTGGTCAATACCCCCTCAGTACACACACACACACACACAAACACACACACACACACACACACACACACACTAGCTGACAGTGAGGAGGCAGAGGGAAGGAGGGAGGCGTATCTGTCACACAGTGCCTGCAGGGATGAGTCAGAGCCATAGGAGGAGCCCTCTCTCCTATTAACACATTTACTGTACTGAGTGGACAATACATTATTAATGCAATGTCTTCATTTCATTTTTTTGCAATCACACAGTGCACAAGACGCTTCCTAGGGAAATCTAGGATATGAAAATGAAGTGATGTTACAAATTAATTATTCATTTTTCGTGTTTGCTTATTGAACCGTGTCTTTGTTGAATTTCAAATATTGATTCCCCTCATAACAGATCTTTGTTTTTGTTCCTGAAAATGGTGTACTGTACCTACCAAGTAGAGTACAAAATGTAGCATACACTCAAGAATCACTGCTTTTTCCGCCTGACATTTTTCATATTCAAATCCCAACAATTTATAGTCATTATAACAGTCTCTTTGTCATGGTCAGGCAGAGTAGTGATGTAATCGAATATAATGTGTTGGCTCTTGGCGTGTTGAGGTGGAGGGCCTGTCCCAATTACCTCTTCTGTGCTCTAAATAGTATGTCAGAGAGTGACGATGACGAGGGTCAGAGTGTAAGGTGTGATAATGATGAAGCTGATGCAGATGATGAAGTTGACGCAGAGACCAATTTTAAAGGCCCAGTGCAGTCAAAAAGGTATTTGTCCTGTGTTTTATATATATTTCCACAGTATGAGGTTAGAATAATTAGTTAATAGACCAATAAGATAGAGAGTACCAAACCTCTCTGCCAATAACAGCTAGTTTTCAGTTTTCCCCTCACCACTCAGACCACTCCCAGACAGTCTTAGCAAAATTCTTGCTTGAGAAATTGCTCTTTGCTACGAAGCTATTTTTGTTTCTTTTTGACAATTTTAATTGAAAACAATCACAGTAAGGAACTTAATTGTTACCCAGAAATGATTTGGTATTGAGATGAAAACGGCTGCATTGGACCTTTAACCCATACTGCAGGGCGTCTGTCTGACCCCTCCCCTCTCTCCCATCTGGGGTTTCTCAACCGGGTCCTCTTCGAGACGTCTGTAGATAGATCATTATTCTAATTGGCTGCCATGGGGAGTGGAGACAGTTATGGACTGTTATAATGGTCAATGCTATTGAAGGCAGGAATATCTAATAATGGGTGGAGGATAACAAAGAGCATAATCTATGTATAGAGAGAGAGAATCATATACTGCATGTGTCTGGCACGATCCGTGGAATTCTGGCATGTCTTCTGCATGGTCGTTATCCATTGGCTGTTGGCTACTCGCTCTGTTCTCTGCATGCCTCAAGCTTCTTCTGTCTTCTGTGTCTGGTTGTGTCCTAGGCTAGCACTCTTAGATTACTTTCTCTTCTCCACTATACTCCCCTTCTTCAATCCACAGTGATCTGAAAATACTAGATCAGTGAAAGCAGTATGGTGGCAATATAAAAGCATGTCTGCCCTTTCAGACTATAGTGCCCTACAGGTAGAAGGAAATCTCAGATTGCTGGGACAGATCCTAATGAGGATGATGATACCAAGCTGCTGACACTCTCTCTCACACACTAATGATACTGTCTGGTTGTGGGGCTTCTAACCTTCCCTATCTCTCTTTATTGCTCTCCTGTCTGTCTGTCTGTCTGTCTGTCTGTCTGTCTGTCTGTCTGTCTGTCTGTCTGTCTGTCTGTCTGTCTGTCTGTCTGTCTGTCTGTCTGTCTGTCTGTCTGTCTGTCTGTCTGTCTGTCTGTCTGTCTGTCTGTCTGTCTGTCTGTCTGTCTGTCTGTCTGTCTGTCTGTCTGTCTGTCTGTCTGTCTGTCTGTCTGTCTGTCTGTCTGTCTGAAGTCCTTGCTATGTATGAGAATGTTCTTAAGTGTCCTACACTGGGCTGCACGGGACGTGGCCATGTCAATAGCAACAGGAACTCCCACAGAAGGTGAGTCGCCAATCATATTGGAAAATGGCAGGATCGTCTGTGTTACGTCCTCCTTTTGTTCAGTTGGAGATTTTTCTATGTTATGTCCAATGACGGGTGGTTACTTTATCCTGGTTTCTTGCCTCTTTATTTATATTTTCTCTTTCTTTTGTTCTTTACTGGATATTCCTGATTATTTTGTATTTATTTTGTCATTTGTTTATCTATTCATATATTTAGGTTCCAATTGTATCATCAATTTGCCAATTATTTTGTGTCTGTATATTGTTGCAGAAATGTAAAAGGGGTTTACAAAAGTAGTTGGCTTTGGAAATCTCAGTTACCACTACAACTGTACCCAACTTTGTGGTTGCTCATTTGATCCTAAATCTGGAGTCACACATGAAATGCTGTAATCCACACCTCAGATGAAAGAATCATGGGTCAAGGTTTCCGGGAGAGAAGCTGTGTTTATGGGTGTGGGTGTTGAGGGTGGAACTGAAATAGCAGTGTGCTCCCCTCTCCTGTCAGACAGACAAAGACTGAGAGATGGTAGTGAGAGAGAGGTGTAATAGTGAAGGTGTAAACTTGGCAGTAGAAAAACTAAACAGTATATTTGACCTCTCAGCTTCCCTATCAAATCTAAACATTTCAAGCAGACAACCTAAGAAAATTAACAACAATGACAAATGGTTTGATGAAGAATGCAAAAACCTAAGAAAGAAATTGAGAAACCTATCCAACCAAAAACATAGAGACCCAGGAAACCTGAGCCTTTACTATGGTGAATCACTAAAACAATACAGAAATACACTACGGAAAAAGAAGGAACAGCATGTCAGAAATCAGCTCAATATAATTGAAGAATCCATAGAATCTAACCACTTCTGGGAAAATTGGAAAACTCTAAACAAACAACAACACAAATAGTTATCTATCCAAAATGGAGATGTATGGATAAACCACTTCTCCAATCTTTTTGGCCCTATAACAAAGAACAAACAGAAAAAACATATACATGATCAAATGCAAAATCGTAGAATCAACTATTAAAGACTACCACAACCCACTGAATTATCCAATTACATTGAATGAACTACAGGACAAAATACAAACCCTCCAACACAAAAAGGCCTGTGGTGTTGATGGTATCCTAAATAAAATGATAAAATATACAGACCACAAATTCCAATTAGCTATACTTAAACTCTTTAACATCATCCTCACCTCTGGCATATTCCCTAATATTTGGAACCAAGGACTGATCACCACAATCCACAAAAGTGGAGACAAATTTGACCCCAATAACTACCATGGGATTGCGTCAACCGCAACCTTGGGAAAATCCTCTGCATTATCATTAACAGCAGACTCATACATTTCCTCAGCGAAAACAATGTACTGAGTAAATGTCAAATTGGCTTTTTACCAAATTACCATACGACAGACCACATATTCACCCTGCACACCCTAATTTACAAACAAATAAAACAAAACAAAGGCAAAGTCTTCTCATGCTTTGTTGATTTCAAAAAAGCTTTCAACTCAATTTGGCATGAGGGCCTGCTATAGAAATTGATGGAAAGTGGTGTTGGGGGGAAAACATACGACATTATAAGATCCATGTACACAAACAACAAGTGTACGGTTAAAATTGGCAGAAAACACACATTTCTTTCCACAGGGCCGGGGGGTGAGACAGGGATGCAGCTTAAGCCCCACTCTCTTCAACATATATATATCAACAAATTGGCGAGGGCACTAGAACAGTCTGCAGCACCTGGCCTCACCCTACTAGAATCTGAAGTCAAATGTTTACTGTTTGCTGATGATCTGGTGCTTCTGTCCCCAACCAAGGAGGGCCTACAGCAGCAGCTAGATCTCTGCACAGATTCTGTCAGACCTGGGCCCTGACAGTAAATCTCAGTAAGACAAAAATAATGGTGTTCAAAAAAAGGTCCAGTTGCCAGGACCACGAATACAAATTCCATCTACACACCGTTGCCCTAGAGCACACAAAAAACGATACATACCTCGGCCTAAACATCAGCGCCACAGGTAACTTCCACAAAGCTGTGAACGATCTGAGAGGCATGAAGGGCCTTCTATGCCATCAAAAGGAACATAACATTTGACATCCCAATTAGGATCTCGCTAAAAATACTTGAATCAGTTATAGAACCCATTTCCCTTTATGGTTGTGAGAAAAGAGCCGTTAAATTCTACAACCACCTAAAAGGAAGTGATTCCCAAACCTTCCATAACAAAGCCATCACCTACAGAAAAATGAACCTGGAGAAGAGCCCACTAAGCAAGCTGGTCCTGGGGCTCTTTTTACAAACACAAACAGACCCCACAGAGGCCCAGGACAGCAACACAATTAGACCCAACCAAATCATGAGAAAAAAAAAAGATAATTACTTGACACATTGGAAAGAATTTACAAAAAAACAGAGCAATACCTGACAACTGTGACTGACCCTAAATTAAGGAAATCTTTGACTATGTACAGACTCAGTGAGCATAGCCTTGCTATTGAGAAAGGCCGCCGAAGGCAGACCAGGCTCTCAAGAGAAGACAGGCTATGTGCACACTGCCCACAAAATGAGGTGGAAACTGAGCTGCACTTCCTAACTTCCTGCCAAAGGTATGACCATATTAGAGACACATATTTCCCTCAGATTACACAGACCCACAAAGAATTCGAAAACAAATCCAATTTTGATAAACTCCCATATCTATTGGGTGAAATACCACAGTGTGCCATCACAGCAACAAGATTTGTGACCTGTTGCCACAAGAAAAGGGCAACCAATGAAGCACAAACACCATTGTAAATACAACCTATATTTATGTTTATTTATTTTCCCTTTTGTACTTTAACTATTTGCACTTCATTACAACTCTGTATATAGACATAATATGACACTTGAAATGTTTTATTGTTTATTTCACTTTTGTTTATTATCTATTTCACTTGCTTTGGCAATGTAAACATATGTTTCCCATGCCAATAAGGGGGGGTGGTGGGGGCTTTGAGGCTAGGAGAGCAGGAGAGAAGAAGGGAGTCACCCACAGCAGATGTTAGGGTGTAGAAGCAGCCATTATCACCTCTCTACCACCTCTGGCAGGAGGGAAGGAAGGCTACTGACCTGGGAAGACTGGAGCTCTCTCCTGCTGAGCACAGTGTCACTCACAAACTGACACTAAGACAGGCATACACACATTCTCACACAAATAGACACACAGTACATACACACAGACATACACACACTGACTGTCTGAGAATGTGCACAGTCATGCACACTAACACACACAACTGCTAACCTATACTCACACCTCAAGAAAATAGCGCTCACTCCACCTGCACTGGCTGAGGGCCATGATCTAAAGAACTTATCTACTGGGACTTCAACTCACTTTACACTTGATGACATTTATAAAGAAGAACTTGGGAAATTATAAATAACAACAAAGGGCCTTTTTAACCTTGGGATGTTGGTGTGTGTGTATTGGGAGGTTGATTGGTTTGTGTGTGTGTGTGTGTGTGTGTGTGTGTGTGTGTGTGTGTATATGTATATACAGTATATATACTATCCTCTTGCAATAGGACCAGCTGGATGGTAAAAACAGTGCTAATAGTACCTCAAAAGTAATATTAATCAAGAAATAACTATTGACCATGCCAAAAGAGTTGAAAAGGAAAGTTTTGAGTGAGGAAAAGAAGGGTTCAGTTATGGCTTTACTGGCAGAGGGATACAGTGAGCGTCAGGTTGCTTCCATCCTTAAAATGTAAAAGACGGCGGTTCATAAGAACAAGGTCAAGCAGCAGACATTGGGGACAACACAGCTGCAGACCGGTAGAGGGCGAAAAGGACTCTCTACTGACCGGGATGACCGCCAACTAATTCGAATGTCACTCAACAACCGTAGGATGACATCAAGTGACCTACAAAAAGAATGGCAAACGGCAGCTGGGGTGAAGTGCACGGTGAGGACGGTTTGAAACAGGCTCCTAGGGGCAGGGCTGAAGTCGTGCAAAGCTAGAAAAAAGCCCTTCATCAATGATAAGCAAAGAAGAGCCAGGCTGAGGTTTGCAAAAGACCATAAGGATTGGAACGTAGAGGACTGGAGTAAGGTAATCTTCTCTGATGAGTCCAATTTTCAGCTTTGCCCAACACCTGGTTGTCTAATGGTTAGACCTGGAGAGGCCTACAAGCCACAGTGTCTCGCACCCACTGTGAAATTTGGTGGAGGATCGGTGATGATCTGGGGGTGCTTCAGCAAGGCTGGAATCGGGCAGATTTGTCTTTGTGAAGGACGCATGAATCAAGCCACGTACAAGGTTGTCCTGGAAGAAAGCTTGCTTCCTTTTGCTCTGACATTGTTCCCCAACTCTGAGGATTGGTTTTTCCAGCAGGACAATACGCCATGCCACACAGCCAGGTCAATCAAGGTGTGGATGGAGGACCACCAAATCAAGACCCTGTCATGGCCAGCCCAATCTCCAGACCTGAACCCCATTGAAAACTTCTGGAATGTGATCAAGAGGAAGATGGATGGTCACAAGCCATCAAACAAAGCCGAGCTGCTTGAATTTTTGCGCCAGGAGTGGCATAAAGTCAAGACGCATGAAAGCTGTGATTGAAAATCAGGGTTATTCAAACCAAATATTGATTTCTGAACTCTTCCTAAGTTAAAACATTAGTATTGTGTTGTTTAAAAATGAACATGAACTTATTTTCTTTGAATTATTCGAGGTCTGACAACACTGCATCTTTTTTGTTATTTTGACCAGTTGTCATTTTCTGCAAATAAATGCTCTAAATGACAATATTTTTATTTGGAATTTGGGAGAAATGTTGTCAGTAGTTTATAGAATAAAACAAAAAATTTAATTTCACCCAAACACATACCTATAAATAGTAAAACCAGAGAAACTTATATTTTTGCAGTGGTCTCTTAATTTTTTCCAGAGCTATATATATTGGGTTGCAGGGAGGGGATTGTGTCTGCATGTGGTTTAATCTCAGAATTCCCTGAAGCCACTCAACCAGAAATAAGCAAGCTGTTATTATAACCAACTGTGTTGTTATTTAAAATGTTTGATGAAAATTAATGATATTGGAAATTAACCAAAGACTTATCTTATTGAAAGGCAGGCAGGCAAACAGGTGGATAATCAGGCAGACAGACAACCTGAGCGACAGACAGGTGGCCAGGGATGCATTGAATGGGACCATTATATGCAAAAGAGACTCTAGCCCTGTTTATACCTGCCGCTTACATGTGTCCTTCATCCTGACCTTTCCTGATCTTATCCTGATCTTGCCCGTTTACATTTATAAGATCTGATCAAAATCAGTTCACAAAGAGTCTTTTAATCATGTAAAAATATGGGTACAATCAAAATGTGGACAAGATCAGGAAAAGGACGCATGTTAGAACCAAGTATAAACGGGGCTTCTGTGTCTCAATGGGCTTTTCCTGGTTAAAAAATAAAAAATAAGATATGACCAGTCTCCCTTCCATTCCTGGTTGTCTTACTCATCCCCCCCTGTCCCTCCAGTCTGTCAGGGTGTCCCATCGCTGCAGCAGAGAAGCTGCAGAAAGCCCAGGACAAGAGCATCGGTTGTGACGGCTCCTCCAAGTCTAACCAGGGTTCTGACCGCGTGCTCAGGTACTGTTCTGACTGATCACCACACTACACTCAGCATACATGGGGAACACCTCACTGGGAGAGACAGTATAGGCACAGTCGAAAGGCCTGAATATATGAATTGGACCTCAAATGCTCTACCAGGGTTGAGTTCAATTTCATTTCAAATGATTGTACTCTTTCAGAACTGGCTGAATTGAAATGGAATAGACCCCATTCTAGAGCTCTACCTTACACCCTTACCTACCTTACTATGGCTTTGCTTTCATTAGTTAGTGTTGGAAGGTTTTCTTAATTACTGTATTATAGATTTAAATGGTTCTCTATGTCTGTTTGATTTCTTTATTTTTTGATATCTCAGACAGTTATAGTTTGGAGAAGCTCTACATTAATGTTCTTGTTGATGAAGTGAAAGCCTTTATTGGATTTTAGAGAGCAGAATCATTTCAGCAAATGTTTCTTTGAAATGCCTGATAAGATAACAATTAAAAAAGTAATAAGCAATGGTAGATATAACATTTCTATCAAATTAGACTGCATTACTTATTCAAGCTCTGATCGTTTTTAGATTAGAAAATTAGAAAATGAATGAATGAATATCAGAGAAAATGCATGGCTTTAATTGTGAGTTCTGTTTGGGTAAGACATTTTAGGAGACATTGTAGTGTTGCAATAAAAGACAGCATAGACATGTAGCTTAGATTAACTCAAAGCTCAATGCAAGGATCCTCTGAGGTTTTAGTTGACTGTCGCCTTGCCATTTCCCTCCCCCCCTCCTCCCTTCCCACCTCCCCTGCGTGATGTTTGGTGCCTCTGCTCTGTCCAACCTACGCCCCCTCGTGGTTTATTTTCCAGGCCTATGTGCTTTGTGAAACAGCTGGAGATCCCTCAGTACGGCTACAAGAACAACGTGTCCACCAGCACGCCGCGCTCCAACCTGGCCAAGGAGCTGGAGAAGTACTCTAAGACCAGCTTTGACTACAGCAGCTTCACTGACAGCAGCCACACCAACAATGTCTACGGCAAACGGGCCATCGCACCCAAACTCCAAGGCAGGGACACTTCCCCTAAAGGATATGATGGTACAGCCTGACGTGTTGTCTCTTCCCTTTACTCTGTTGTCCTGCTTTATTGTTGTTCCAGGTTTTCAATTTGAATAATTTTGTGGGTAGAAGGATGACAAAAGGGTTCCAAATGTATTCAGCTGTCCCCATAGGGGAACCCTTTTTGGATCCAGGTAGAACCCTTTTGTGTTCCATGTAGAACCCTATGTGGAACAGGTTCTACCTGTAACCAAAATGATTCTACCTGGAACCAAAAAGGGTTCTTCAAAGGGTTCTCCTATGGGGACAGCCGAATAACCCTTTTAGGTTCTAGAAATCACCTTTTTTCTTCTAACAGCATGGTATATGAATTGTCTGTATTTAGAAGGTATTTTTCTCCACAGATTCATTGTAGTTTTGTCCCTTGTTTCCAAATATATAGTTGAAATGAATGCATCTCCCTTAGCCAAGCTACTATAAGAGCATTTCCATGCAGTGGATGTGTTTCTACTGGTGGATAACTATCCCTACCCCTGTGTATGTCCTTCAGCCAAGCGCTACTGTAAGAACTCCAGCTCAGCGAGCAGCACGACTAGCACCTACGCCCCCAGCAGCAGCAATAGCAGCCTGAGCTGTGGAGGAGGGGGCGGAGGGGGAGGCAGCAGCGCCAGCTCCACCTGCAGTAAGAGCAGCTTTGACTACACACACGACATGGAGGCTGCCCACATGGCCGCCACGGCCATCCTCAACCTGTCCACGCGCTGCAGAGAGATGCCCCACTGCCTGGGAGGAAAACCCCAGGATCTCTGTACTCAGGTAGGTTGCTTATTAACTACTTATATATATTACCAGTCTATCATAGTATTGGTTAAACCTTTGAATGATATCCTACAACCACAGTCCCATGCCACTGCTAGTGGCATTTCCCTCCAAGCTTCCTCTGTCCTGCCAGGTAATGTGAGCAGTGATGAGTGAGGATGATATGGTCTCTTTAGCCATGAACGCTGGCGATCTGTTAAAGAGATATCCACGGCTGTGTCTCTGGCACGGCGCTCAGCGGGACAGCTTTTTATTTCCCTTCCAGGGATCAGATAGGGTAGTTAGGAGGCACGGCGGGATGGGACGGATCGCCGTCGACGCGCTGTGAGCCCAATATGTCATCAGGAGGCAATAAGGCGTTGGTATTCCTGCATTATCAGCACGGAGACACTGAGCCGGTAAATAGGAGAGAGAGAAAACACAGCAGAGTGCTAACGCTAGCCTGGCGCTAATGTTGGCAGCATGGTCTGTCTGGGGCTGGAGAGGAGAGGTCTGGAGAAGACAGAGGAGGGGAGAAAAATATTTTAGGAGAGGAGAGGGAAGATGAGAGCCGAGAATAGAGGAGGGGAAAGTGTTGAGAGGAGGTATAGAGGAGAGGCAATGAAAGGAAAACAGAAGAGAAAGTAGGGGAGTAGAGGTACATCTTAAATGTGAAGTAGAGAGGAGCGCACTTAGCTGGTAGAAGAGCCTTTGGCAATTAGGACTTCCTTTCTCTCTTCCTCTCTGTCCATCTCTGCTCCGTAGGTGAGACAGACAGACAGGAGGATCCTAGGCAGAGATGGAGACAGAAAACATCAGGGAGACTCAACCTTCTTTCATCTGAACATCTCCAGTTATGTCATTGCTTTTCTCACATTGTTAATCTTTCCCCTATCTACATCCACTCCTATCTCTCTGAGTGAAAGTGAGGGAGACTGAGGAATATTCATGAATACTGAGGGAGAATACCTGGTTTTATTTTAGGATCTGGAGGAGGCAGGTGGAAGTAATGTGGGGAAGCAGCTACTGACCCCTCCCACTCTCTCTCGCCCACTTCCTCCCAGCATAGCCATGGCAACAGGGGTCAGGGGCTACCTAGGAGTCAGATGAAGATGCAGTGGTCCGTGAGGAAATGGTGGGAAGATCTCTAAAGGGGCTTCCTCCTCTCCCAATCTACTACTAATTAGACATCATGGGGCAGTCACATTAGTACTGTCATACACACCAGACAAGTCCCTTATACGTAGACACACATGCACACAAATATAGATAGCCAGAGCCCCATCCCTTTGGCTCCACGGCTATGACAGCTGAGCCGGTTACATATCACTGAGCCGGTTATATATCACTGAGTGACCGCCAGTGTTGGGACAAACTGGGACAGGGACAGGGACATGGAGATGGCTGGCTTTATATCCCTCACATATGAAAATTAGCTCTCACGTTTATTACATACAGTGGGGAAAAAAAGTATTTAGTCAGCCACCAATTGTGCAAGTTCTCCCACTTAAAAAGATGAGAGAGGCCTGTAATTTTCATCATAGGTACACGTCAACTATGACAGACAAAATGAGAAAAAAAAATCCAGAAAATCACATTGTAGGATTTGTAATGAATTTATTTGCAAATTATGGTGGAAAATAAGTATTTGGTCAATAACAAAAGTTTCTCAATACTTTGTTATATACCCTTTGTTGGCAATGACACAGGTCAAACGTTTTCTGTAAGTCTTCACAAGGTTTTCACACACTGTTGCTGGCATTTTGGCCCATTCCTCCATGCAGATCTCCTCTAGAGCAGTGATGTTTTGGGGCTGTCGCTGGGAAACACGGACTTTCAACTCCCTCCAAAGATTTTCTATGGGGTTGAGATCTGGAGACTGGCTAGGCCACTCCAGGACCTTGAAATGCTTCTTACGAAGCCACTCCTTCGTTGCCCGGGCAGTGTGTTTGGGATCATTGTCATGCTGAAAGACCCAGCCACGTTTCATCTTCAATGCCCTTGCTGATGGAAGGAGGTTTTCACTCAAAATCTCACGATACATGGCCCCATTCATTCTTTCCTTTACACGGATCAGTCGTCCTGGTCCCTTTGCAGAAAAACAGCCTCAAAGCATGATGTTTCCACCCCCATGCTTCACAGTAGGTATGGTGTTCTTTGGATGCAACTCAGCATTCTTTGTCCTCCAAACACGACGAGTTGAGTTTTTACCAAAAAGTTATATTTTGGTTTCATCTGACCATATGACATTCTCCCAATCCTCTTCTGGATCATCCAAATGCACTCTAGCAAACTTCAGACGGGCCTGGACATGTACTGGCTTAAGCAGGGGGACACGTCTGGCACTGCAGGATTTGAGTCCCTAGCGGCGTAGTGTGTTACTGATGGTAGGTTTTGTTACTTTGGTCCCAGCTCTCTGCAGGTCATTCACTAGGTCCCCCCGTGTGGTTCTGGGATTTTTGCTCACCGTTCTTGTGATCATTTTGACCCCACGGGGTGAGATCTTGCGTGGAGCCCCAGATCGAGGGAGATTATCAGTGGTCTTGTATGTCTTCCATTTCCTAATAATTGCTCCCACAGTTGATTTCTTCAAACCAAGCTGCTTACCTATTGCAGATTCAGTCTTCCCAGCCTGGTGCAGGTCTACAATTTTGTTTCTGGTGTCCTTTGACAGCTCTTTGGTTTGGAGTGTGACTGTTTGAGGTTGTGGACATGTGTCTTTTATACTGATAACAAGTTCAAACAGGTGCCATTAATACAGGTAACGAGTGGAGGACAGAGGAGCCTCTTAAAGAAGAAGTTACAGGTCTGTGAGAGCCAGAAATCTTGCTTGTTTGTAGGTGACCAAATACTTATTTTCCACCATAATTTGCAAATAAATTCATTAAAAATCCTACAATGTGATTTTCTGGAGAAAAAAAATCTCAATTTGTCTGTCATAGTTGACGTGTACCTATGATGAAAATTACAGGCCTCTCTCATCTTTTTAAGTGGGAGAACTTGCACAATTGGTGGCTGACTAAATACTTTTTTCCCCCACTGTACCAGTGGTCTTGTTTATCAGTTTATTATATATCTCAGTAGCTATATATCAGTTTATTATATATCTCAGAAGCTAAATATCAGTTTATTATGTATCTCAGTGGCTATATATCAGTTTATTATATATCTTAGTAGTTATATATATCTTAGTAGTTATATATCAGTTTATCTCAGATGATCTTATCTATGTCTATCATTTGTCTACAAAGGCTGATTCTGTATTGTTGCCATATTGGCCGGAGAGTGATAAAGAGTTAGCTAGTACTATGTGCATTTTACTCATTTTAACGCTATGGTCCTTCCAAAGATGGCTCCGGAAGCACACCCCAGAACCCCAGCCTCTGAGCCTAGAAGCCGATATAGGTTTATGTGCATCACAGATAAGCGGGTCGGGGTTTTTCTCCACTGGAACACACAGAGAATCCAGCCTAGGGGTAGTGTCGAATGGAATCACTGTTAAAACTGGAGGTTAGGAGAGCGGGAGAGGAGGGGAGGGGGTCGGAGTAAAGGGTATTAATGAGGGCAAGGGAAAGGTGACGAATAGACATTACCCCTCCCCTCCTCACCTCTCTATAAACACTACCCTCAAGGGAAGGATTCTACTGGGCACATTTGCACCAGATGCAGTACATGGATATTCAGTTGTGTAGAAAAGGAAGGATGAGCGGGAGGGAGAGTATTTTGGGTGATTATTCAAGCCTGCCTGTGTCCCTGTTTGTTCTGGTGTATTTCTTGTGTTTTTGGTTGACTAGCAGCAGTCCCCCTACAGCTGCCCAGCATTGCCCTCCCACCAACCTCTCACCCCACAGCCCTCTCTCTGTCCCCGTCCACTCACATCACACTCAAACCAGCCAGGCCCCAATATGCTCCCTCTGGCTGTGGAGGTTACAGTCGCTCCGAGGGAGGGAGAGATGGAGAGAGATGGAGAGACAGAGAGAGAGAGGGGTATATAGATTAGTGCAGGATCACTACATTTGCTCACTGTGCACTTGCCCTTTACCACTGATGACCATGTCTCTCCCACCAGTCACTATGCCTTTACTACTGATGACCATGTCTCTCCCACTAGTTACCATGCCTTTACTACTGATGACCATGTCTCTCCCACTAGTCACTATGCCTTTACCACTGATGACCATGTCTCTCCCACTAGTCACCATGCCTTTACCACTGATGACCATGTCTCTCCCACCAGTCACCATGCCTTTACCACTGATGACCATGTCTCTCCCACCAGTCACCATGCCTTTACCACTGATGACCATGTCTCTCCCACCAGTCACCATGCCTTTACCACTGATGACCATGTCTCTCCCACCAGTCACCATGCCTTTACCACTGATGACCATGTCTCTCCCACTAGTTACCATGCCTTTACCACTGATGACCATGTCTCTCCCACTAGTCACTATGCCTTTACCACTTATGACCATGTCTCTCCCACTAGTCACCATGCCTTTACCACTGATGACCATGTCTCTCCCACTAGTTACCATGCCTTTACCACTGATGACCATGTCTCTCCCACCAGTCACCATGCCTTTACTACTGATGACCATGTCTCTCCCACCAGTCACCATGCCTTTACTACTGATGACCATGTCTCTCCCACTAGTCACTATGCCTTTACCACTGATGACCATGTCTCTCCCACCAGTCACCATGCCTTTACTACTGATGACCATGTCTCTTCCACCAGTCACCATGCCTTTACTACTGATGACTATGTCTCTCCCACTAGTCACCATGCCCTTTTCCTCCTGTTGGGAAATATTAGGAGAGTTATGTAATCACATATATATATAATCGTTTTTTGAGTTGAGTGTTGTTTTTCCTTCCTTCTCCCCTCTCTCTCCTTTGTTCTGTCAATCATTACTACTTTCCCTCCCTTCTTCCCTCCCACCCTCTTTCCCTGTCTATCTTCTATCTCTTCTTCCAGAACCCGGACCTAGAGGTAGATGAGAACGGGACATTAGACCTGAGTATTAAGCAGCGTTTGGGGGATGGAATGGGTGCAGTGCTCACCCCCCTGGAGCCCATGTCTCCCCAGCGCCAGGCCCTGATGCGCTACGGCATGGGGGATGACTGCTGGGACCTGCCGGTCGATTACACCAAGATCAAATGCATCGACGAGGACAGCAAAGAGGTACTAGAATGAGGATGATGATGATGATCACTACTCTAACCTGTAACTCCTATTGTCGGATGAGGTTATCCTGCCTTTAATGACTTTCCATAGCATTAGCTTCACAGTACCTCAGCATTCAAATATCATCCATGCAAACAAACTGCATAAATCCAAACATT